CCTGCTCCCCGGAGCCCGCACCCGCGGGGCCGCGCCAGCCCGAGCGCATGGCCGAACCGGGGGAGCCTGCGGCGGAGGAGCCAGCGGACGAGGGGAGGCAGGTACGCACCGGGGTCGCCGTGGGGTCCCCGGTAAGACACCCACGAGCCTGCCGGCCGAACCTCCCCAGGAAGGGCCGAGCTAGCGGCCCGGCAGGAAAGGAGGGTTCCTACGGCCGGACGCTCCATCCTCCCCCAAAGTGAAGCTGACCTCCCTCCCTCCCTGCTCTGGCGTTCCTGGGCTTCCCACGGCCGTTGACACTCTGCTCTGCACCCTCCTCTCTCCCCGCTTTTGCCCACCCGTGCCCAAATCCACGGACACGAGCCCTACTTCAAGGTCTGAATTGGAGTTAGCTTACTCTTGACAACACAGTTCATTGGGATGGGGTGTGCGGGAAGGGAAGTTGCCTGTCTTTTAGGTCAACTTGAAATCCAGATTCCAGAGTCAATGTGGGCGTTGTATGAGGCTGGGAGGACTGGAGTGGAAGGAGGAGCACTTGCCGGGATGCGTGTTATTGTCGTTTTAAAACTGCTTGTAGGTTTGACACCCTCAATCCCCACCCCCTGGGTTGCAGACGAGCCCGGCTTGTGTGGAACAAAAGGTGCAAGAAGAGGCGCTACCCCACCACCCCGTCCCCACCTCCTGGGAGCCGGCCATCCGCTGGCCAGGCCTTCTACAGGGTACCCCTCATACACTCATTCTCTGACGCACCGTGGATGGGATCCTGGTTTGTCCCAGGTTCCTGGGATTTCACAGCTCCAGGCCGGGCCACCCACTCTGGCATTTGGTCAGATTTGAACACTTTGTTCTTCTGAGCCTCCATCCTGAAGGCAGGATGGCTAGGACAGTGGAAGCCGTGGGCTTGCTGCGTTGGTGTGTGGTCAGCGTGTCTGCCGGCGCCTCCTCTTCCCTTGCTAGATACAATAGTTTGCCCCGGAGTGAAGCTCTCGGGACAGAAGAGGCGGCAGCGAGCCTGGGCCCAGGCCTCTCTCTTTGCTGAGTCTGCCAGACCCCCGACTAGCTGGCTCTTTGCTTGACAAGTGGGTGACTAATTGTGTCATTAGAGTGGCTTCTAACTTGCCTGAGCCAGGCTGTGAGGAGAGCTATTGTGTTCGACCCAGGGAGAGTGGAAAGCTGCCTGCCCAGGCTCACAGACCTGGGGTGAATGGCAGGTGGGGCTTGGGACCCCTCTCAGGCCACCCCTGGCCCTCTCCACCAGCCCTGTTCCAAATTGTTCCTCTTTCGCCCAGCAGCAGATTTTATCTAGACCAAGGTGTCTTTTAGGGGGGCACAGTCCTATCTTGATCCTTTGGAGCAGGGCGATTTCCTCAGAAACTTCCTACAAGGCTTTTGAGACATTCATCCTGCAATGGGTCAGTATAGTATTGAAACAGGGACCTTCACATAACTAACCCCAGTGGGCATTTTGGATTTTTTTCTGGTTTTGGTTGGTTGAGGCAAATTCTTGACATGTAGCCTGGTCCGGCCTGACCTGGGGCCCACTATGTATTCAAGGCTGACCTCAAACTGAAAATCCTCCTGCCTCAACTTCCCAAAGCATGGTGACTCACACCTTTATTCGAAGCACTCAGGAGACAGAAGAGGACAGAACTCTTTAAATTCAAATCCATCTTGGTCAACATGATGAGACCCCCCCCCACCTCCACTCCAAAAGAAAAAACAAAACAAAATCCTAGGATTATAGGCACTCACCCCCACACCCAGGTTAGTGGATGCTTTGGAGGACCAGGTACAATGTAGGGAGTTCAAGATGGCAGTGAGCTATCCCGAGAGAATCCACTCAACAGTAAGGCAGTTTCCTCATTTGGAAATCAGGCCCATTACCTGTGAGCATGGACTCGGGCCAGCTCCCTGGACTCCTGCCCAAAATGTCAAGTGGGCAGAATCCCAGGTGAGGGCCGGCCTGGGAGACAGGTGCCTGAGTGTGCCTTCCACACTTCCCAGTAGTGTGCGTTAGTGCTAGAAGTTGTTGCTTAGAAGTTGTCTTGAAATGGACTCAGGCATTTCCAAGTGTTTCCAGCACTTTCTTCTGATGATCATCCTAGTGGCGGCGGTGGGGGGGGGGGGGGGAGGGGGGGGGGGAGGATGGATGCAGTATGCCCCCAGGGAAGATAACTTGGGTTGGAATGAGAAGCTCTGGCTGGATGATGCCCTCAGTGGAGGCCCCCTTCATGGTCCCTAGGTGAAAGGCAGCAGCCAGGGATCAGGAACCACCCCACCTGCTGTTGGCCGGGAGCCACTGCCCCTGAGACGCTTAACTCACTCTCCCCACCTCATCCCCTCTTCATTTTCCATTAACTACTTCCCTCCTAATCCAGTCTTCTCCTTTCCCGGCAAGGCCTGGGCAGTCCGTGGCAGCTGCAGCCTCTGCCTCACAAAGCTGATTATTGAAAAGGCTCTGGAGCCCAGGGAGGCAGCCTTCAGCTGCTGCTGTAGATCACTGGGGCAGCATCCCCTCTGGAAGGCTGGGTGCCCTAAGGCCAGGGACCAGGTGGTGGGAGGAAGCAGTTATAGACTGAGGCCTGAGTGCAGACTCGAGGGGGTGGGGGCGGCCAACCTGAGGTCGGGAGGGGCTGGCCTTCCTCCCCCACTCCCCAGCAGTTCACAGCCCAGGCAGGGACTCCGAGGGGCAGAATCATGTTATTAAAATGTGTTTTTGCCTCTCTCGCGGGGATCACTTGGGGTGGGCAGTACAGGAAACATGGGGGGCACCTAGTTCCTGCAGAGAACTACGAGGTAGCAGTGTCTGGACAAAAATTGGTCCTTCTCAAAGCCAGGGAGCAGAGCTTTCTTGATGCTGATGTGTAGGCTGGGGTTTTAGTGTGGTCAGGTCGCCTGTGAGATATCAGCATCCCAGCAAGGTCATGTCTGTATGGGAAGAGTCCCCGAGAGGCCACGGCACAGGGTCATTCCAGTGACTCTGGGGTTAGACGCTTAGTCTGTGCCACAGCCAGACCTCCTGGCATGTGGGTTCTAGTTCTGCTCAAGAACAAAATAAGAGCTGAGTGTGCTGTACTTATCTGGTATACTGTACACTTGGAGACTGAGATAGGAGTCTCATTCAAGTCCAGAGGCCAGCTGGGGCAGCGTAGCAAGACACTCTCAAAACAGCAAAAAATAGGGCTGGAGAAATGGCTTAGAGGTTAAGAGCACTGACTGCTCTTCCAGAGGTCCTGAGTTCAATTCCTAGCAACCACATGGTGGCTCACAACCATCTGTAATAAGGTCTGGTGCCCTTTTCTGGTCATACATGCTGTATACATAATAAATAAATAAATCTTTAAAAAAAAAAGAGAGAAAAACCTCTCCCTCTTCTTAAAAAAAAAAACAGCAAAAAATAAACACACAGTAGGGGCTTTGTTAAAAAGCTTCATTTATTTTTATTTTATGTGTGTGAATATTTGCCTGCATGCATGTATGTGCACTACATGCAAAGGCCAGAGGGCGTCTGGCCCCCTGGAACTGGGATTACAGAAGGTTGTGAGCCGCCGTGTGGGTTCTAAGAACACAATCCAAGTCCTCTTCAAGAGCATCACGTGCTGAGCCACCTCTCCAGTCCAGAGTAGGGACATTTGTGTGTGAGGTGCTTGGAGTGGAACCGAGGCCTGGGGCATGCTAAGCAAGCTTGGTACCATCGAGCTAAATCTCCAACACTAAGACATTTGTAAGTGTGGTCTCAGTGCTGGACTTTTTGTGTGCAGTACTGACACTAAGTTTCTATGGAAAAATGTCCTTGAAGGCTAGAGATGTTGCCTGGTTTAGATGAGGTTGTGGGTTAGAGTCGTAGCACTTAAAAAGGAGAGAGATCTACTGTTAGAGATACAGGCTAAAATTCTTTATTATGAATATACTTATTTATTTCACGTGTGTGCTCGTGCCAGTGTCATGGTGCCCATATGGAGGTCAGAGGGCAAGCTGAGGGGTCAGACTCAGGTTGTCAGGCCTGCGTGCTGGAATTGTCTGTCAAGATTTCAATAGTTACACAGAGTATGACACACACAGAGAGAGAGAGAATGGACAGATGGCAACATTGGTGTGTCTAGGTGAGAAGCGTGCAGGTTTCATTGTATTGCTCTTTCAACTTTTAACTCATCTTGCTAGCAAGTCCACCTTGTGACCCTGTCGTCCCCAGCCTTGTTGACACCGGAAGCTGATAGACCCTCTCATACTGACCGAGGGACTGTTGAGCCTTTCCCTGCCAATTCTTCTGACCTAGCAATCCCAACATGGTCCCACTTTGTTCTCTTTCCAAAACAGGTAGCAGAAGGCCAGAGAGACACCTAGCAGTTCATGCCATGTGGGGGTCTTGTCTTAGTCGCCTTAGCTGATAGGACCAACACTGTTGACAGGTGGCTTCGGTGACACATTTGTCTCCTGCATTTCTAGAAGCGGGCATCCTCAGGTCTCAGAGGCAGCAGGCTGGACTTTGGGGAGATCTCCTGCCCGTCTTGGCTTGCCTCCAGCTGTGTCCTCGCATGGCAGAGAAGCGGGTGTTGTGGTGTCTTGTGGTATCCTCACAAAGGCTCTGCTCCCACCCAGTCAGCTGCCAGGTCTGCTGTTGTATTGAGACAGGGTTTCATATAGCTTCAGATGTCTTGAACTTACTGAGTAGCCAAAGATGGCCTTGAACTCTTTTTTCTTGGGGGGGGGGGGGGGAACTCACAGAGATCTGCCAGCCTCTGCCTCTCCCGTGCTGGGGTTAAAGGCGTGCGCTGCTGCCGCCGCCGCTGCCACCACCGCCGCCGCCACCCAGAGGCCTTGAACTCTTGGTCCTCCTGCTTCTACCTCCTGAATGTTACGATTACAGACATGCACCACCACATACACTATAGCAAATAGTGTATTTTTAAAAATTAAGTTTATAGGTGTGTTTTGCCTGTATGCATGTATACCACAGAAGCCAAAAGAGGATGTCAGATCCCCCTGGAACTGGAGTTCCAGAGTGTTTTGAGCTACCATGTGGGAACAGAACCTGGGTTCTCTACAAGGGCATCAAGTGCTCTTAACCACGGAGCTGTCTCTTCAACCCTAGCGATTACTT